GCGTTTAAAATTACCTACGAAATAGACTACCATAACATATTATAAATTATAGCAGAATTTAATATAGCATTATAAACCAGCTAGTGTAGAGAACCTATAATCACAAACAGTATGGATCGTAATATAGCAGTAGAAAGCAGCTATTGTAAAGCACCTATAATAGCACACAGTTTGAATCGTAAACAATTTTTATAATTAAAATATCGTCTTATAATAACGTTAATCACCGCGTCTATTTGTTGCCATCGTATCTGAACATAACACATCGTCAAAAAAAAAATGCTATCGTAGAGAGAGTATTTATGATGGCTGCCGATGACATAGCATTACCAGTTTCGCTATGAAAACCCTACGATAGTGTTTATCGTGTGCTAAGAATGTGCATATTTCTTGTAGTGATAGCTAAGAAGGATATGTATCATAAGTTTATAGAATGTGTGTCACACGAGCATACCAGTGTGTCATACACTCGAATGGAAGATCAATATACTGAGCTTGAAGAACCATTTTAATGGTCTAGGAGGTATTAAGAGTTTTGATGGTCCAACAAATATCATGAAGTTTTCACAGAGTTTTCACTCAAGCAGGGGGAGTTTGAAATTTATTTTGATAGGATGTATGATGTACATTATGCTTAGAGTTAGTGAGCTTGAGTTGTAAAACTCAATGAAAAAGGGAGAGAATGTAAGCTCAAGAACTTGAAGCTTGAGAAGTTGCTCCAGTGGTGGAGTTTTGGTTTGTGTACATGTGTTACACATGAAGAGTAATGTGTTACACATGCTTCGGAGAATAAAAAGGAAACATCAAGATGCGATCATTTGGAAGATTTTCATATGTTTGGTTGACAAAAATAGAAGATTTATGATGTTAAAATATAGGAAAAGAATATATTAGATAATAGGAAAAGATTATTTAATATATATCTTGACTTTTACCTACTTTGGGTATTAGGAGTTTTGTCGTTGTAATTCTCAGAGGGAAACACAAAGGATTTTGGGGTTTCATAGCTGAGTGGGTTGGTAGACTTGATCAACAGGTGTTGAATCAAGCAAGTTGGGTGTGTTAGGAATAAAAATGTGTCGAGTCGTGTAATTCAGATCAAGCAAATCTGTAAGAGACTACGTAATAGATTTATAATAAGAGATGAGTGTTTTTAAAATTACTTTATGCCTTGTGTTTTCGCTGTATCTCGATTCTACAGACTCGAGTTATCTCCAGTACTGCTGTTGTAGTGGGTTATGATATTATTTGAGAAGTCACTTTCTTAGGTATCGCGTTCACGTTAACTCTTACACTGGTTGATTACTATGATACCCCTAATGAATTAAAAATACAATTAAAATATTATTATTTTCTTTTGAAAAATTTCCAAATAACAATATAAAATAAAAAGGAAACATTTATAAAGTTTACAAAACTATTTAAAAACGAAAATATAAGTATAAATAATATGGTTTCATAAAAAAGGAAAGTTCACAAAATAGTAATATTTAATTTAAATATATTTTTAAATATCATAAAATACACTTTTGAAGTAATAAAATACTTTATATCTATATCTTCTTAGATAATAAAAAATATTTGTATATAATGTGATTTCATAAAAAAAGTTCACACAAATAATCTTGATATTAGAAAAATAAATATTTTTTTCTTTAAAAATATAATTTTAAACAATAAAATATATATATTTTTCAAAATAATTACTTAAACTAATAACTTTGTATATATCTATCTATTTTAAAATAATTAAATAACATTAACGAATATATGTTTAGTTGACATTTTTTATAATTAGTATTATTCAAATTATTTTTTTAGTATATTTATTTGACTATATTATCTAACAATTACAGTAAAATTACAAATTATATTTTACTTATATAATATAATTTCTCCTAAACAATCACTTTTTGTACTGACTATTTTAAGAGATATTAAAAATAAAGCAAAAAATAAACTTAATAATAAACATATTTTGATCAAATAACTACAATCATTTTAAAATATTATAACACTATATAATTTAACGAGGTAGATATATTATATTTTAATAGTTAAAATTATCTGTTTTAAAAATAAGAATTGTGATTTGCTTAAGTATTTTGATTATGGTTATATTCAATTTCACAAACATTAAAACAGAAAATAACTACAATTATTATAAAATACCATACACTATATAATTTAATGAGGTCAATATATTATATATTAATAGTTAAAATTATCTGTTTTCTTAATAAATCTTTTGGTTTTTAATTTTCTGTTTTTATGTTTGTGAAACTTAATATAATTATAATCAAAATACTTAAGAAAATTAGAATCCTTATTTTAAAAATGTTTTAAAATAAATTTCAGTTTACCATCCAATCAATCTAAAGCATAAATTTATTTAGAATTTATAAATATTTTATTTCTTGTAAATATTCATATGTTTCCTAAGCTTCTAAAAATTTATTAGTTACTTATGTATGTAAATTAGTATCAGACAATTTAGTTTTTATTTTTTCATTCTAAGCACAAAAAAATCTTAAGTTATATATAATCTTACAAAATATACTTATATTTATAAGATAACAATAAGCATAAATGCAAATAAGACAATTAATCAAAATTTTAATATATTTAAAATAAAATAAAAAGATTATAGTTGAATTCATAGAAATAGATAGAATCCAATATATCTAAATGATAACTAAATCTACTGTAAAAACAATAAATCTAACTAAATATAACATATCTAATTATATATATAATTAAAGTAATATAATATTATAATATAAATTAGACATAAGAACTATAAATTAATTTAAAATTTAAGTAAATATCAATCAATTATTATTGTATATTTATTTTCTAAATATTTATTGCTCGTGCATGAGCACGGGAAAATCACCTAGTACTTCATTATTATAAGGTCCATGTAGTATGGGTTTTTTTTGTCTAAATCTTAAGATTTATAACAATTTTCTGAGTTTTACATGTTGCATTAACAATTTATTATAAGAACAAGGTGAAATAACACAAAGTCTCAAACAAACATTAGCTAAAAGGAGCAATAAACCAAAAATACAGCTCTACAAGAGAGTAAGCATCATTAAGAGCAGGAGGAAGCGAGAGCAGCCTGTCCCTCATATGCCGGTACAATCTGGAAGAAGGCCGCTGGTTGGTGAGAAAAATCTCTGAAGATTCTGCTATTACGTTCTCGCCAAAGAGAATAGATAATAATAACCTGCAGCAGTAGTTTCATGATAATCTTCACTTGTGATGTATATAAACCATTATAATTCAAACACATCGAAACAACAGAAGAGAGGTCTGATGGAAGAGAGGTGATGAATCTGGTACAAAACATGGACCAAATAGAAGTAGCAAAACAACACTCGAAGAATAAGTGCAGGTGAGATTCAGGTGAGAAAAACACAGGACACAAGCATCTGGAACTGATAATCCCCAGGAAATTAGACGATATCTAGTTGGTAATCTCCCTAAAAGAGACAACCAAGTGATAAAGGAATAACGGGAAATTTCTTCCCTGAACCAAACTACCTCATGCCACTCAAGAATGAGAGAATGTTGACGCCATAAGTTTCAAGTGATTTTAGAGAAGAATTTAGGTCTACCCCCACCCGTGTGAGATCTCCAAAGGAAGGAGTCCCTATCACTTGTAGGAGTAAGGGCCAGAGTGGTGGTAAGAACAATCTGTAGCGTTACTACATTTTGACTTCTAGCTGGAGGTAGGTTCCAATGACCATCCCTGATTGCATCAGCAACATAATTGGAAGCCGTAGTGTCCTAGAGGCAGTAGACCCGAAAAACAAATGGAAAGGCTTTAATTCTATCTAGTAATCAAACCAGAAAGAAGCGGTGATACCATTACTAACAGAACACCGAAGAAATGTTGGTAAGAGATGTTTAAGCTGTAACATGTAGTATGTTTGACCTTTCACACCAACTCTGCCCCATCTGGTATAAATAGTAAGTAAGCTAATTATGAAATTTTGTAGGGTGAGGATCCGACTCTACACAAACCAGAAAATAAATTTAAGCAACATGCTGTATGGCCAGTTTTTGGCACATTCATATGAAACATTTGTTTAGGCCTCCAAATTTTAATGAGCTATTATATATAAGTAAAGGTCCTTAAATTGTCAAAAAGAAAATTATTTAAAATTAACCTAAAAATATTGGCCTGCATGTAGTTGGATTTTTATCATCGGTTAAAATGAAGAAAGATGAGTATATATATCTACGTACCTAGGACTTGCATAATGAAGAACTTGTTCTTGTTTTCACCAAGATGAGCCTGACTTAGAGTTAGTGTATCAACTTGAAATCTGAAAATTGGGGTTTGATTGTCTAGTGGTTTGATTAAAGTATCCTTAATTTTCTCATCAGATTAATAGAGAAAAGGTTTTTGGGAAGCCTAAACTTTCCCCAATTTTCAGATTTCAAGTCTCTTTACAATGATTATGAATGACCCAACATATACCATCTTCAGATACTTTTCTTGTCTTAACGCCTTCACGTTTCCAACATTGTCGATGAAACTGGGGTTTTACGGGCGATTACAAAGGACTATCAATGTCGAAGGCGCCCTAAGTTTCCAGATCACACACCACTGGAAAAAGGGTTTGTTCAATCAAATCATGGTGAGAGATACTGAACCGAATTACTCTTGCGAATTACAAAATTACTGATTTTTGTTCTGGCTCATACTGTGCGATAGTTACAAAACAATTACAGAGAAGAGAAAAAAGCTTCTTCTTTTTTTTTTTTTTGTCAAAGTCAAATCAAAGAAATAAAGAAAAAGTCTCTGGTCTTTGTCTACTTCAGGGTTGACCTGTTCATTAGTGTCTACTAGTTGTATAAGATACAAGTTGTTTAACAAAATAAAAACAAGTTGGCTTTTGTTCATTAGTGTCTACTAGTTATATAAGATAATTATTTATACGTTATGACTTGTGAGCACAACAAAAAAAGAAGTTGACATTGTTTTAGAAGAAGTTGACTTTGGACAAAACAAGACAAACTCTTAATGTTCGTTTTGCTTCCTTTGTCAAAAATGAATAAAAGAGTTGCAATTTAAGAGATGATGAGACTGCTTGAAAGCACAGAGATGATGGCATTCAAGACTCTTACGTTCCTTTGCTGTGTGGTTCTCATCAATCTTTCCAATGCACAAGATCAAACAGGTTTGAAAAGTTTCAAATCTTTATATAAATAGAGTCAACCAAAGATTATGCTATTGTCTTTTTCTTTCTTGTTATGTCTGAAAGTTAATTTAAAACTGGTTATGAATCAGGATTCATTAGCATAGATTGCGGGTTACAACCGGATAATTCGAGTTACACGGAGTCTTCAACAGGTATAAACTATGTTTCGGATTCAAGTTACACCGATACAGGAACCAGCAACTTCGTGGCGCCTGAGTATAGAGTAAACATGATGCAGAGCATGTGGTCTGTTAGAAGCTTTCCAGAGGGAATCAGAAACTGTTACACGATTGGTGTCAACATAAGCGCCAAGTATCTGATCAGAGCGGCTTTTATGTACGGAAACTATGATGCAAGGAACGAGCTACCTGGGTTTGATCTTCACTTGGGTCCAAACAGATGGGACAGTGTTGAACTGGAGTCCTCTGTGGGAACAGTGTCCAAAGAGATCATATATGTCGTGTTGACAGATACGTTACAAGTGTGTTTGGTGAATACAGGAAACGGTACACCTTTTATATCGGTTTTGGAACTTAGACAGTTGCCAGACTCATCGTACGTAGCTCAATCTGACTCGCTCCAACTCTTCCAACGGTTGGATTTCGGGTCATCGACGAATCAAACGGTCAGGTATCCAGATGATGTTTTCGATAGGATATGGTTTCCTTCAACGCCTGATGGGTCGAAGCAGCTAAGTTCTTCTTCGTCGCCTTCTCTCTCACGCAACAGTAGCAGTACGTTACGTCTTCCACAAGTTGTAATGAGAACTGCAGTTGTACCAAACGTTTCGGGTGGTTCTGTGGAGTTTGGTTGGGTTCCTGATGATCCTTCTCTTGAGTTTTACTTTTACATGTATTTTATGGAACTTGAAGAACCGAGTTCTACCTCTGTAGAGAGGAGAGAGTTTGTCATTGTTTTAAATGGAGAGGTTATCTCTTCGCCGCTCAATGTCACGTACTTGCGAATCAAGGCTTTGACCACTGCAAGCCCTTTGAAAGCAGAGAGGTTTGAGTTTTCCATTCGTCAGACTCGAGATTCAACTCTTCCACCTCTTATCAACGCTATGGAGACTTACGTTGTAAAGAAGTTTCTGCAGTCTCCCACGGATCAAACCGATCGTAAGCTCTCTCACTCGCTCTCTACTTCCTCTTTCAGTTTCTCACTGACTCTCTCTCTCTCTCTTTCTCTCTCTCTCTCGCCCCATCGTTGTAGTTTCTGCTATGAAGAGTATCAAGTCTGCATATAAAGTCAGGAAAAACTGGGAGGGAGACACGTGTGTGCCTCAAGATTTCACGTGGGAAGGGGTGAATTGTAGCTACAATGGCACAGGCATGCCTCGAGTAATAGCTTTGTAAGTGTCATATAACGAATTCCCTTATCTCAAATCAAATTTATTTATTTATTTTTAATAACCAAAGTGGCCTGAGTCTGTTAGAAACTATTGACCCCTTGCAACAGAAACTTGTCATCCTTTGGATTAACAGGAGAGATAGCGTCTGATATATCAGGTCTTTCACGGCTGCAGATTCTGTAAGTTTGTTCTCTTATTTTGGTATGAGAGAGAGTCAGTTCTCGCCAAGTTGTGTTTCTGTATATTGAATGTTGCGTTTTTAATTCCAGGGACTTGTCAAACAACAACTTGACTGGACCAGTACCAGCTTTCTTAGCTAAACTTCAGTTCCTGAGAGTTCTGTCTGTATTTACTCAGCAACACTTAACTAGTAAACGAGAACTCACGGCTCGTGTTAACTAGTAAATGACATTAGCCACTCTGTTTTTTTTTTTTTTTTTTTTTTGCAGAAACTTGGCAAA